CAATACCGAAACCGCGGCTATACAAGATTTTCTGAACTCGATGTGGCGCTCATGATAGCGGAGACAAAATAATGAACTCCTTATTAAAAACCACAACACCTTACCTACGTGAACCAAAGCATTTCCCAAGGTAAATGTAACGGATGTAAAAAATCCAGAAAAAAACTAAATTAATTCTATCGTGGTCGTGGTTATGGTCGTGGTCACCGATTTAATCGTGGCCATGAAAGAAGTTACAACCCAAAAGGAAGAGGATCCTACACATGAAATCGATCTGATCGAGTAAAGGGGAAAGAAACCCAAGAGAATCCTACTCGTAAAAATGAGAACATCTGTTACAGATGTGGATCGAAGGGACATTGGTCTTAAGTGTGTCGTACTCCTCAGCATCTATGTAAGTTGTACCAAGAGACTATCAATAGCAAGGCTAAGGAAGTGAATCTTAATGAACACTTTGAGGGTACAACTTCAACATACTTTGAATCCTCTGATTTCACCAGCGATTTCTAATGCTACACCTTGAGATAATTAAATTACTTGTAGTAATCAAGTTCAATAATACCTAAAGATGCCATAAAATACTATTTTAATTATGAATTTCCATTTTCATAATAATATTGTTTATCAAACAACTAATGTATAATTATTGTGTAGTGAAGTTTTATTGTGTGCTTATAATCAGTGTATAATTATATTTTTTTATGAATTTTTATTTTCTTTATTAATATTGTTTATGCTTTTCAGAAATGGATAAAAATGCAAACGGAACAATTATCAAGCAAATTGGTAGAGAAATTTGCATTCCAGATTATGGTACAACACACACTATACTGAAAGATAAGAGATATTTCTCAAACTTCAAGTCTGCAAAATTGACCGTCATACAATATCAGGTCCAACAGACGTAATTGAAGGAATTGGCAAAGCAAATTTTGTGTTGCCTAATGGAACCAAATTTTCCATAAATAATGCCTTATATTCTCCGAATTCTAAGAGAAATTTGTTGAGTTTCAAGGATATATACCGTCAAGGTTATGACACTCAATCTGTAATTGAGAATGGAAAGAAGTGTGTATATATATATAACTTCTGAAAAATTAGGTAAAAAGATTGTACTGAAAAAATTTCCAGAACTTTCTTTTGGATTACACCATACATATATTGACGCCATAGAATCACATCTTGTGATCAAAAGAAATCCAGAATATGTCATATTATGGCATGACCGTCTCGGTCATCCAAGCACTACCATGATGCGAAAAATCATTGAGAGTTCACATGGTCATTCAATAAAAACTCAAGATATATATCAAAGTAATAAAATGACATGTGCTGCATGTGCTCTTGGGAAATTAATCATAAGGCCATAACCAACTAAAATTGATAAAGAATCACCAAAATTTTTATAACGAATCAAAGGTGATATTTGTGGGCCAATACATCCACCTTGTGGACCATTCTACTATTTTATGGTATTAATAGATGCATCAAGTAGCTGGTCACATGTTTATTTGTTATCATCTCGTAATATGGCATTTGCGAGATTTCTAACTCAGATAATAAAATTAAGAGCTCAGTTCTCTGATTATCCAATTAAGAGAGTTAGATTAGATAACGCTGGTGAATTCACATCCCAAGCATTTAATGATTATTGTATGGTATCGGGGATCGAAGTAGAGCCTTATGTTTCTCATGTTCATACACAAAATGGTTTGTCATAATCATTAATCAAAAGACTGCAGGCCATTGATCATGAGATCAAAACTTCCAACCTCCATATGGGGACATGCTTTTTTGCATGCAGGAGCACTCATTAGGATAAGACCTAGTGCATATCATAGATATTCTCCATTACAGTTAGCATTTGGACGAGAACCAAATATCTCCCATCTAAAAATCTTTGGTTGTGCAGTTTATGTCCCAGTGGCACCACCACAACGTACAAAGATGGGACCGCAAAGACGGTTAGGAATATATATTGGATATGATTCTCCATCAATAATAAGATATCTAGAACCAAAAACTGGTGATGTCTTTACGGCACGATTTGCCGATTGTCATTTCAATGAGAAAGAATTCCCGGTTATAGGGGGAGACAATAAACAAGTAGAAAAAGAAATCAAATGGAGTGTTCCATCTTTATTACATCTTGATCCTCCTACGAAACAATCAGAACTAGAAGTTCGACGTATCATGCATTTACAAAATATAGCAAATCAACTACCTGATGCATTTGCTGATACCAAAATGGTAACCAAATCACATATTCCTGCTACAAATACTCCTGCTCGTATTGAAATACCACAAAAAGGTGGAACAGCAGTAGATACACATGAATCAGGAACGCGTTTGAAATGCGGTAGACCCATTGGCTCAAAGGATAAAAATCCTAGAAAACGAAAGGAAGTTGAAAAGCATGATCCTCCCAAAATAATTGAAAATATTTTGGAAGAAGAGAACGATGAATCTAACGACAATATTGAGCATCATGAATCTGAAGAAAACCACGAGATTTCTATCAAATACGTCCATAATAGAAAGATATGGAAACGAGATGAGATGGATGACATTGATGATGTTTTCTCATACCTTTTATCAAACTAAATAGATGAAGAAAACGAAGATCCAGAGCCAAAGTCTGTATATGAATGTCAAAAGAGGCATGACTGGATCAAATGGAAAGTTGCAATTCAAGTTGAACTAAATTCACTTAATAAACAAAATGTATTCGGATCTATAGTACTCACACCCAAAGATGTGAAACCCGTTGGATACAAATGGGTATTTGTCCAGAAAAAATGAGAAAAATGAGATTACAAGATACAAAGCTCGTCTAGTGGCCCAAAGTTTCTCTCAAAGACCTGGAATTGATTATGAGGAAACATATTCTCCTGTTATGGATGCAATCACATTTAGATTCCTAATGAGCTTAGCAGCAAGTGAAAATTTAGAAATGCGTCTCATGGATGTTGTTACGCCATATTTATATGGATCATTAGATACTAATATCTACATGAGAATTCCAGATAGATTTAAAATACCAGAAGCTCTAAGTTCCAAACCTAAAGAGTTATGTGCAATAAAATTGCAAAGATTATTATATGGGTTAAAACAATATGGACGTATGTGGTGTAATTGCCTCAGTGAGCATTTAACGAAAGAAGGATATGTGAATGACCCTATATGCCCATGTGTTTTCATCAAGAAAATAACATCCAGATTTGTGAAAATCGTGCTATATGTCGATGATCTTAATATTATTGGAACCCAGAAAGAAATACAAAGGGCATCAGAATATCTGAAAGGAGAATTTGAGATGAAAGATCTGGGACAGACAAAGTATTGTCTTGGCCTACAAATTGAGCATTATCAAAATGGTATATTTGTGCATCAATCCACCTATACTAAAAGAGTATTGGAACACTTTAACATGGATAAATCAACTCCTCTTAGCACTCCGATGGATCACTTAATGTTGAAAATAATCCATTTCGATCATCTGCGGAAAATGAAGAGATACTTGGTCCCGAAGTACCATATCTAAGTGCAATTGGAGCACTGATGTACCTTGCAAATTATACACGGCCTGGTATATCATTCGCTTTCAATCTCTTGGCAAGATTCAGCTCCTCTCCCACACAAAGACATTTGAATGGAATTAAACATTTTTTTCGTTACCTTCAAGGGACCATCGATTTAGGCTTGTTTTATCCTAAAAATTCAAAAGATCAAATGCTTGGTTTTGCAGATGCAGGATATCTTTCGGATCCACACAAAGCCCGATCGCAAACAGAATACGTTTTCACGATCGGAGGCACTGCTATATCTTGGCGTTCTCAGAAATAGACGCTCGTCACTACCTCTTCAAATCATGCTGAGATCATCGCACTCCATGAAGCAAGTAGAGAATGTGTATGGTTAAGATCAATAAGCCGACACATATGTTCAAGCAGTGGGATTGATGAAAACTTGGAGCCAACTATTCAATATGAAGATAATGCGGCATGTGTTGCTCAAACGAAGGAAGGATATATCAAAAGCGATAGAACCAAATACATACCTTTGAAGTTCTTCTCATACACTCAAGAACTCGAGAAGAATAAAAAACCGAAGTAAGATATGTTCGATCATGCGACAATGTTGCTGACCTCTTCACAAAATCACTTCCTACCTCGGTATTCAGAAAACATATCTATAACATTGGAATGCGTCACCAGAAGGATTTGTGACTGATCATTCGAGGGGGATCTTACATAGTTGTACTCTTTTTACCTTAGTATGGTTTTTCCTATTAGGTTTTTCAAGAAAGGTTTTTAAAGAGGCAACAAAAACGTTAAGAAAGAAGTAATAGTGACACTGGTCGCCAAAGGGGAGTGTTATAAAACGTGTGCAAAAGAAACGTCAAAATTATACGCACCGAAGATTGACATTTACGTATGTATATTTATTGTGTGTAGCCCACTGTCACTATGCGCGCACAGTAACTTTCTCTCTTTACTCTCTATATAAACGAACGTTTGTGTTCGATGAAAGACGTACCATTACCTCTCTTTTCCCTCTGTATAATAAATTCTTTCTATTATATATCAGTATTATTTCCTTTCTACGGATATAAAATTTCGTTTTTATTTAAATTTCAAGATACTATAAAATTATAAGTTATTTTATAACATATTGAAGTTATTTCATTTTCCTTTGTCGCACCACAATTAATTGCTTACCTTATGAAAAATATAACATTCAATACAATTCTATACAAATCCATAACAATTAACGGAAATCTATGTAAGAATGTATGATAATATTTCTTAAATCTACTTAACTTTTAAAATTCCCTCAACTTTTAGAATCATCAAATTCTACAAAGGTTCTTTTCCAATAAAACCTCTAATGATGTTTATTTATTTATATGTCTGATCAAAATGTTGCATACAGCAAATTAAGTCAGTCTCTGAAAATATCCTAAATGAAATTTTGACAAAAGAAAAATAAAAAGAAAATCAGAAGAATCCTGGATCCTCTGGCTTAAACATTTTAGGCATCTTCAAAGTTGGATCATCAGGATCAATTCTGGAAGACCCTCTTTGGTTCCCTAAAACACCTCTCTTCGTATTAGCTGCAAACTTAGACGCTAATATCGTGGCACTCAAATTCTGGTTATTGCTGCTGTTGTCGTCTGCGTTGTTACTACTTTCAGGCATGTCCTCTCCATATTGATATCCTCCATCATCATCGTCATCATCATAATAGTATTCGTCTCCTTCCTCTTGCCTAGCTAACTCCATAGCTAACTTCCTCTTCATGTATCGTCTCCATGCCGCTTGTATAAAACCAGTTCCCCAAGCCCTCCATTGATGAGAATAGTATCTAAACAAGAGTCAAAAACATATTAAATATCAATAAACCTAGAGTGTGAAGCAAAAGACTTTAATTGTGTGATAAGTAAGCAAGAACATTACTATTACCTGAAAGCATGTTGGAGTTTCTTGCTGTGAAGGCGTCTGAATTGATTAGCTACGAACTTTAAGTCCTCTGCTCTGAGAGCGAAAGCTTCTACTTCAGAGAGAGTTCTCACGGTTCTCGTGGACAAGGGGAGATTCAGGTTAATGTTTGGCATTAAAGCCCAAGTTAATAGCTCTTCACCACAGAAATCTCCTGGTCTAAGCGTGATTGAGTTAAAGAATCCTGACCGTCCACCATCTGTAGTCGAACTCTCCATCTGACCTCTAATGATGAATAGCATCTCGTTTACAGGATCGCCTTCTCGTGTCACATATGTATCTTTAGTGTTCAAAGATGGAACTAAACGCTCGCATATTGCGTCTATGAGCTGGTCGTCCATCTGTGCAAAGAATGGCACCTGATAGCAAAACAAAAACGCAGAATAAGGGTTTATTACTTGAGCGAAAAGTAATCAAAAATGTGGCGTTCCATGTGGCTTACACGGCGAACTAGAGCGAGACAGAGATGCCGTTGGATCTGTCTACGAAGATCTAATGGAAGAGCACGGAGGATGGCTTCTTCATCGACTCCACGAGTGGTTAACCATTTGTATTGGACAAACCGCCTCACACGTTCTTGTAACTCTTGTGGCAATTGTCTGTGCCGCATCCATTCCTCTGTATCTCTTCTTCTCACTCTCCATTCGTCTAACCTAGCCGTTGTTGATTGCAGATAGTTCTTCAAGAAAGCAAAAAAAAAAATCACTTTAGTCTCTGTTGTTAAGCTATGTTAAACTATAGATGGAAATAAACCAATATGCATTACACATAAGTTTAGAGATGTGGTATATTGTTCATGTAGCGTATGTAGCTAATAATCATATTTCCTTTAATAAATTACCTGAACATTACCAATGAGATGAGAGAAGAAAACAAGACCCGCAACACAGATGAAACAACTGAATAAAGTCTCACTACTCAATGTACTCGCTGCAAGACTCTGTCCATAAGAACTACACAAACCAAAGCAACGAAACATCAGATCGAAATTGCAAAAAAAAAAAAAAAAAAAAAGCAGCGGATTTATTTGGTTATAGATTAAGCTAACCTGAGATTGCGAAG